TTTTAGAATTCATATAGTAAACTCTTTGTGATCTGTGTTGGAAGAATGGAATGCTCTTTGGAAATTGGGTATTTTACTTAACTGATTTCATTTTATTTTTTCTACTTTCGGATCATCTGATTTCTCTCACATAATATTTATGGCAAACGTTTGTCATTTATACAGGTAGTAGAGATTTCTGGTTGTTAGAAAATCAGATAAACTTTAACCTTAATAATTTACTAAAAGATAATAATAGTTTCATATTTCTCTGTATCCATTAAACTATATATATTTATTGACATTAAGTACTGATTAGTTGAAATATAGTGTCATTTTATTTTAAAATCAGTAAGATGTTGGGAATAGTAGACTAGGAATAAAGAGACCTTTATTGTCTTTTACTAAACTTGTGACTCAGGCTTTTATTTCACCTTTTGGAGCTAAAGCTTCCCTATTAGTATATTGGGACTAGCACCTTATCTATCTCAGAGTTTTTCTCAGGATCAACTGAGATATCGTAAGCAAAAGCACTTTGGTGTGTTTTAAGTGCTCTATAAATATAAAATCATTTTATTATCCTGAATATTTGTTTGAGTTTTCTATGATAATAACTCTGAACCAGTGGTTCCCAAACCTGGTGGAACGTCAGAATCTTTTAGGGAATTTTTTAAAAGTCTGATTGGAGTCCCACTTAACTAGATCAGAAGCCTGGGGTTAGGACCTACAAATCTGTATTTTTTTTTTTTTTTTTTTTTTTACTTTTTACTTTGAACTAATCTCAGACTTGCAAAAATAGGTCAGAGTTCCTTTAGACTCTTCACCTAGCTTCCTCAAGTGTTAACATCTTATATAACCAAAGCACGATTATCAAACCCAGAAAAGAACACTAACTAGTACAATTCTATTAACTTAGAAACCTCATACAAATTTTGTTAGTAGTTCCATTTTTTTGGCCAGGATCCTACATTCCATTGTGTTGTCATCTCTCCTTACACTCCTCCAATTTGGGATAATTCCTTAGTCTCTGTCTTTTGTAATGTTTTCCGTTTTGAAGCATACTGGCCAGTGATTTTGTAGAATGTCTCTCAGTTTGGGTTTTTCTGATATTTTCCGATTAGGAATCCTTATTTTTAACAGACAGCCTTCTAATGAAGCCTACCTCTCACACATTTAGGAATCACTCATCAATACCAACCTAATCTTTGTTCCCCTTTGTAGTTTCACCCATGTGCCATTTTAGAACTTTACAATAAACCAGTATGACTTCATTGTTTCCAAGAATCAGTGTTCTGCGTAAGTAACCCTAGTTTTTAAATCTTAAAATATGTCTGTATTTTACTGAGAAATATGTCAGTCGAGCATGACTTAATGTTTTAGAATCACCTTTTTCCTACCATGGAAATGTACCGTTTTTTAACAGAAAGGGCATGTGTAAGTATTTTGGACTTTGTAAGGTTTAATAGCAAACTACCATATATGAAATATCTCTTACAAAGTTAGGATTTAAAAGAGATTTTTGCGTAGGTTAAGAATGGTTAATTTAAAAAGATTTTTGCATAGGTTAAGAATGGTTAATGAGTTTATGAAATAATGCTCTTCCCGGCCTATGGAACAACCTTGGAAGAAAATATAGAATATATGGAAAACACAATTTAAAAGGTCCTTTTTTGTTTTGAAGAAAATTTTCAAATAATTAATATAATGAAGGTTTATCCTAAGGTATTACGGGCAATGTTTTTACTAGGACTTACCCTCCTCCACTAAAAAGGATAGGTATCTGAGATTGATAGGGCAGCACTTACTAGTATTTCTTTTCTAGAGATTCAAGCAATATTTATAAAAATGTTTGAGGAAATGGCAGAGTGAATCCAATATATATTTCTACTACCTAATTTTACTTAGAGTTATCCCTGATCTTGCCACTGAAGACCAGCTGGACAAGTGCGTTAGGCTGTATTGTGTAATCACAAGGAACATCATGCTTATCCTTAGGAGGAGGTTTTTACTGGAAGAGGGGACTGCTGGAAAACTAATAATGTCTTGTTTCTTGATCTAGAAGCTGGTTACACATTTATGTTCATTTGAGAAAATTCATGAAGCTGTTCTCTTTTGATGTGTGTACTTTTCTGAACTTATATAATATTTTCACATTAGGAGACTGTTAGGTTTAGGGAAAGTGAGGGGTTGCATTTGGGAACATTTTGAGAGCGTCAGTTTAAGCTCTGGAGTGAGGCATACTTAATTTTTATTTCTAGTCTTACTGTCAGTTTGACTTTGAGCAAGGCATTTAACTTCCCTAAGCCTCCATTTCCTCCTCTTATAAAATGCTAGTATTCACTTCTCGGAATTGTATGAACATCAAATGAGAGAATGCATGTTAAAGTCAGCAGAGACTGCTTCCATAAACACTGGGTAAATGGAAGCTTTGAAAATGTAAAGGAGTTCCAAGAGTTCAGATAACAGTGGGTTGTGGACTGAAAATGAAATAGTCTGTGTAGACGGATGAGGAGGAGGAAAAACAAGATCATGTGGTATCTAATAGTAGATAGGACCTCAAGGGAGAGTTTTATGTTAGCAGGGAAACCAGACTAAGGAAAAGGGACCAGAAGAGGGAAGAAATGACCAGTGAAAGTGGTGAGAGGGAATGAAGCATAAACATGGTTGGTTCCTTAATGTTGTTCCAGAATATCTTTTTGTACTCTCTCTGATTTCCTGGTTCCAACATGAGCTGTGTTTGTACTTTTATTTGCTTGTCCGAAGAGTGCAGGTGAGACACCCAGTAAAAAATTATCCTTCTCCTGTGGAAGGTGGTAATCATGCCATACAAGAATAATCTGGGAGTAACTCTTTCTAGAAGTTTCTTGCCTAATCATCCAGTCAGTGGCCATGTCAATTGATTTTGCCTCCATAATAAAGTTGTCCTTTTCTTCACCTCTTCATCCACACAGCGTGGCCCTGTGTTGCTCTCTTCATGCCTCACTTGAGTTGTCATTTGCCTGATTGCTGGTTTCCCTGCCTTGCGTTTCTCTTCTTCTAGTTGCATCGCTTTCTTGTTTGAAATTCTTCCCCCACCAATTTTATTGAGATACAATTGACATATAACATTGTATTCATTTAAGATGTACAATAATTTGACATATGTACCTATTGCAAAACTGTTGCCACAAAAGTCTAGTTAATACCCATCACCTCACTAGTTGCAAATTTTTTTTTTCGTGATGAGAACTTTGAAGATTCACTCTCTTAGCAACCTTCAAATATACAGTGCGGTATTGTTAACTGTGATCACCATGCTGTATTTTAAATCTGTAGAACTTATTTGTGTAAAATTCTCATCTTCCAAATGCTTTATTTTTTTTTCATGTATTCAGAATATCTCCGAGCCATTTGTTGTCAGTGGTGAACAAGACAGATTCTGTTTCAATTCCTGCCCTGCGGAGCTTAAAAGCTGGCCTTAAGCTAAAATGTTGATTCCTTACATGTCATACAGGATCTTCTGTGATCTTCACCCTATCTAGATGACCATCCCTCTGCTTCCTCCTCCTGCTTTGTGGATCTCTGACATGCTCTTGTCACTATGCATTTCTCTCATTCTTCTGTAATATCCCCCCTACCTGGAATGCACGCTCTGTCTTCTTTCACTACCAGTTGAACTCCCTTTTATCATTCATTTCCTATCTCAAACTTTACCTTTTCTGTAAAGGTACTCCTTTACAGTAGACAGAAGCACTTCTTTTGTGTTCACATTACATCCGCTACTAACTTCTTCTGAGTTTGAACCGTGTTCATATTTTAACAATGATACTTTAACGTTAGGGACTGTGTCAAATCCTAGAACCTAGGAGTACCTGGCATATAATAATTAGAGGTTAGTTCAGAAATTACTGTGTCAGGACTTCGCTAAGAACTCATTTGCATTATCCCACTTAATTCTCAACAACAGTAGAGGTAGCTATTATAGGATCCCTATTTTCCTGGCAGGGAAACTAAGGCTAAAAGAGATCAAATAATTTGCCAGGTGTCTTACAGATAAGCAAATGGTAGAATCAGGTTTAAAATCTTTGATGCTTTGATTTCAAAGTGTGTGCTCTTAACCTCCAAGTTCTCCCACATTAATAAATAATTGTTGAAGAAAGTTCTATCTTTCTGATACATCATACTTAAAAATATTTGGGGAAATTTTCTGTTTGGAATATGGATATCTAAAATAGAATTTCCCTGATTAGCAATTAGCATGGTTTATGATTAGTATGATACTTCAAAATCATGCCCTCTCATCTGTTGAACCAGAATAAGGAAATGGGGGAGCTCTGTACTTTCTACCTCTGATCAGGAAAAAAACTGAGAACACATTTTCATTTTAAACATTTGTATTTGATGTGTGTATATAAATATTAATATATATATACACACACACATATATATATGAGAGAGACAGGCAAACTGTGGAAATATAAAAAAAGAGTTTTTAACTCTTTAGGAACATATACTGCAGCTAAGATAAGCCTTAGCATAAATGAAATAATTAAAGGACAATCCATTGTTGAAGTGTTTTCAGTAAGGGAGAAATTAGGGTAAAAAGTAGTAGAGGCTTCTAGGGAATAGGTGGGATAGAAGGACATTAAGTAGAATTTGAACTTAGTAAGAGGTAGAAGGGTGAGAAACCCTCATTCCAAATCTACAAGACAATAAATGAATTATTTTAATTACTAAATACAGTTATATCACCTGACATTTTTTCCCATGAAAAATATTTTTGAGCCTGAGAAACAAGTGATAGAACTTGACTGCTTTTCTGTGCTTAAAAGTATGTTAACTGTAATACTGGTTTGTATTTTGTTCCATTAGAATGCAGTTTTTGTCTCGAAAATGTCATTATGGATTTCATGATAATTATCCTCTTTGGTTGAACATTCATGTGATATGAAATGGAAGAATGTTTATCATGGCAATCTTAATATGACCACAAATGGAAAAAGGCAGAGTTCACACTGTTTACTCTTTTCCTCTTGAAACAGCAAACTCATTATTACATTGGGTAAGAAACAAAAAAGAAAGAATGAGTCTTCAGATGAGCTATCTGATACAGAGCAGATGCCACAACATACATGCAAAGAGGAAGACTCTCAAGTGAGTATTACATTTTTTTCTGAGAAATGAAGCACTGATAGAATTATCTAGGTAGCCTAAACCTGCTTTATGGTTATTTATACCCTAGTTTAGTAATAAAACTACATTTTATTATATGGTAGAACTTGAAGACAGCATTATGACAATATGCTTCTAATAGTATTACCATAGAATGTTGGACCTGGGAGGAAACTTACATATCCTCTCTAAACCCCTCATTTTTCAGATAGTGAAACCAAATCCCAGAGAGGTTAGTAACAGTCCAAAGTCCCTGATGGCTTTTAGCATGGAGAAATAGCTAGTGATATTATCCTGTACTTATATAGTGCTTTGAATTGAACTTAATGATGGAGATCCTAAGTTTTAGAATCACATACAGTGATAGAGCAAATGGATTGAATCATTAGTAGAGATAATTCCTTTGGTCTGCTTCTGTCAAAGAAAAGATAACCAATTATATTTAAAATCCCCTAATGTAGACAAGCATACTGTGCATTTTGCCTTTTTTTTAATAGGTGGATATTCAAAATAACCTTGTGAAGTTAAAAAAAAAAAAATATATATATATATAGGGAAGGTCATAATAATTCAGGCCACCCTCTGCTCTCTAATAATTAAAGTACAACTCTAGGCCGTTATGGGTGGTGGCAGTTGTTGAATTATGGGGCCAGAAAGCCCCTGAATGGCCTTTCTTCTTCCTTATGCAGCTTCTTATCCAATGGGAGAGTAGTGGCTCAAGGCTCCTGGGCTGCTGCAAGAGTTGAGGTAAGGGCAGTGACTGAGCTCCTAATATTATATGGCCTGGCTTTTTCTTCACATGTTACCCTTCACTCAGGCAGACTTACAGTTACCTTATTCACCATGAGAAAATTCAGTTTAATTTTTACTAGCATAAGGCTGGCCATTTTTCCATCTTGTAATTACCAAACAATGAAATGGTAGAATAGGTTAACATGCACATTTCTTCCATACTTTTCCTTGTAGTATTAGGTTGCTTTGATAGGCATGTTGCTTTAACACTAAAATATAGGTGAAGAAGAAAAGAAATACTTTCTAGTAAACGATTATAAATCTGTTTTACTGATACATTTAAATGTACCATATCAATGATGGAGAGGTCCATGTAGCTTTCAACCACCAGGGACTATCAAGATTTGAAGGCTGAAAAAATAACTTTCAGGCTTGGAGTCAGGTGGAAATCTAAAAATCTGAATGTGATATTTAATTTTTTACCTTTAATCTTAATACACAGTACTTCAGTAGTCTGTATTTGCAGACTTCATTAAAAAAAACAAACACAGCACATTATATTAGGATTATTATAGGAAACAACATGTTATAACAAAATATTAGTCATTTATGAGTGTATTTCTGACGGCTTATGTGAAGTGTTGTGGACTGATCCGTTGAAGCCTCTAAGACAGAAGAAAAAAAGCTGGAAAGAAATTCGAAGAAAGAATTTGTCACTATTTTAAATTGTGCTTTGAAAACATTAAGAGAAAGAAAGCCAGAAAAAAGCACATTAGCCAAAAATGGGTACACCAAATTAGTTTTTATATTTTTAAAGTAGTAGTGATATTACATGACAGAGAAAGATAATTTGATGAGAGTGGCACCTCATTTGGCTCTGCCTGATGTGTAACTGGGTACTCTAGTAGAATATAATTTATTCCACTGTAATGATTCCAGCTATAATCTTATAATATCTATAATAATCTTATAATATTCCAGCTATAATCATATAACTCGGACTTTTTAATTAATCTTTTAGACTGATAAAGTCTTCATGAGGGTGCAGTTTACAAATTTATTGCTCTCATTTTATCTTGTGAAGAATCAACTCAATTTGCACTTTTGAGAGTTCAAAGGATTCTTTCAGGCCACTCATTTACAATTTACTAAAGACCTAAGTGAGGCATTTCAAAGAGCTAATAGATGCCTAAATGACCAGAAAGGAAACTTAAATGCTGAAAACATCAAACAGAATCTTCTAAAAGTATACTGAATTATTCTTAAACTTCATTATTTAGAAGATTTGTGCCCAGGGGCGCTTGGGTGGCTCGGTCATTAAGCGTCTGCCTTCGGCTCAGGTCATAATCCCAGGGTCCTGGGATCGAACCCCCGCATCAGACTCCCTGCTCTGCAGGAAGCCTGCTTCTCCCTCTCCTACTCCCCCTGCTTGTGTTCCCTCTCTCGCTGTGTCTCTCTCTGTCAAATAAATAAA